GGTTGGTGGTCAGCCCGTGGGCGGGGTTGGCCGTCCCCGCGGACTGGGCTCACGATTGTGGCATCCACCGCAATCTGAGCACCCTGCCAGGTGGGGAGGCCATTGACGACAACCTCAGCTTTGAATCAGAATGTGCACACACACACAAGTGTCGCGAGCCGTTACCTTGGTACACGTCGGGGAACTTTCGGCCGTGGGTCGTGCACTTGTCGCCGTTCGCGTTATACGCGGCGACGTGTTATGGGCTGCCAACCCACCTAAGCTTGCTCCCTATCTACTGTTGGACGCCGCCTGTGCGAGAAAGCAAGACCTGAACCAACCAGGAAACTCCTAGGCAGAGGTGCGTGCGCAGGCGAGAAAGCGGAAGGTCCCAGCGGCCACCACCTTCTAGCCCACAGTGGCGGGGTGCAGTGGTGCCGCCCGCCGCAGCGGGAAACCCTTACAGCGCCGAACATCGTGGATCGGCACATCAAGAGTTAAGGATCATGACGAAAAGCACGTGGCGACCACCACGAGCTTCGGCGGGTCCTGCAAGGACTCGCTCAACGGGATCGGCGCGGGAGGAGAGCACGCGTGGTTCAAACCTTACACGCGTCCAGTGCCCCTCGGATCCCTCGGCAAGAGCAGGCGCGTGGGCCTAGGGAGCACAGCAGGACCCGAATAAAAATGGACTAGATGGTTACGCCCTCCTCGCAGACGCCCGCGGGCAAACCAGGCCAGAATTCGGCCGCAGTGGCAGTCGAGGCGAGGCGTGTGCGCAACCGCGGTTCGTGAGAACGGTGTTTTGGCACACCTCCGGACTTCCCCGCCTGAACCATTCCTCCCCAAGATCTCCCTTAAACTCTTTGTTAAAACCCTAGGCGTCCGGATCTTGCCACCGTCAGGCGCAATGAGCTACGTTTTAGGTTACAGGCTGGGACGCTCCTCGGCTGAGGCTGAATAGTCCCACTGATAATAGTACAACACGTGCAAAGAAAACTGCGCTGTTGCTAGGGCTGCTAGGGTCCCTCTGTAGGGCAGCCTTCCAAGGATGCTTGTGATTCGGTGCCAGTTTCGGCCCAGACGAGTTTCAATTTTAATCTGCATTAGCAAGTCTTGGGCCACCGACCATCATGTCGGAAAGGGTGCAGGCGCAGACCAATCCAGTTCATGTGGTTCCTTGGTCGTGCAGCACGTGAAGGTTGTGACGAGACACCTTTTGGCACCCATCGCCGTCGCGGGCAGCGAGGACAGCAACATGCTACACTGCTACACCACAGTGGGTCCATAGTGCAGTTGAAGTTGTAATATAGTAATATGTGTTCATGCGTTTCGGCAAAGGCTCTTTGCCATAAAGGCTCTTTGCCATATTATGCGCCGTTAGGACATGTAGCGAACACAGTTTGCCTTTGTACAGGGACCTGCTGCATGGCATGTAGTTGCTGCCCGGTGGGTGGATGTCGCAGACTCCGGTTTACGAGCCGGGGGAGCATTTTGGCATCTTCCCTGATTACGAGCACAAGTGCCCCATGCGCAAGTGGGTAAGTTCTTGTAACTTGTAAGGTCTGAACAGGGGTGTCTACGTGAACGGAAGGTGAAGGACACAGGTCGGAGTGTTCCAATTGTTTGATTGTGTCGTGGATTCCATGGGCAATGGGTGAGGGCAGTGAGCTGCCGGCAAGCTTTCTGCATCACCTGGCCACGTGCTAGAGGTGGCCGTATCCCGAAGTCGGTATTATGTCTGTCCAAGAAACCCCGCCGGGAGCCCAGTTCGATGCAACAGAATCCTGATCGTCCATGTCATGCGCTCCAATTCCACCAGCCACAACTTTCATGATCAGATGTTGAAGGTCGACGTTGTTTACGTCCTTTTTGGAACAAGCCGCGAAGAACTTCCCCGAGGCTGCATCGAGAGAGGGTGGGACAGAGGCAGAGTAAACGAGAGGGTCCGGGCTATTTAGTGTTATGGTTGTTGGCCAACACCGCGGCACGCGCTCAGCAGGATCAGCAGTGGCACAGGAGGGGAGTTTCATAGTTCGAGCTCACGTTGACACACGCGCCTGCAGCCCACCAAGCACACACGATCAGATGCGGTTGGGCCAGTTCGTTCATTGCTGACAACGCCAGTGGTTAGCTAGGCGAGGCCAGCACGCGCCGAACCCGCTTAAAGCTTGGGTAATCCCGCATGTTCGAACTGATGCTTGAGCAGAAAATTTTCTGAACCCGTCATATTGGATGATTCCAGGGCTCAGTAAATGACAGAAAGTTGCAGAGGGAAGAGGGAAACCAGGTCCCGGAAGCCGTCAAAAACTCCTCATCCGAAGAATGGTCCACACATTTCCGGATTGCATTCTTAGATTCGTTGGAACGGCTTAGGACTTAAGCGTTTTTTTCAAGAGCTCATTGTTTCAGAGCTGGCCAATTCCCGGCGGGCAGACGGTGATCAGCCGTTGCTTAGGTTCAGAGTTCCGCAACAGCCTGGACGTTGAATAGGTGCTATACACCTCAGAAATTCCCACGCGTGTCGCAGGCCCGAAGAAGTTCCACTATGGTCACATGAGAAATTGTCGTTGTGAAGTCTTTTATATGTGATGGGTAACGGCACGGTTCAGCTCCGCGTTCGAAAAGGTGCTCTGTCGTTGGTATACCTTGTGTACACGCCGGGGTTGCAGTCGAATGTGCCAACATCCGCCCAGGATATGTTCAGTGTTCAGTTGACGTTTCATGCGAGGATTGCAGGGCATGTGACGGCAGGTCACACACATTTGCTGTGAGCGAAGGAGACAATGAAGATATGCCAACTCATGTCAATGTGTAAGATCAGTTCTCACTACGCACAGCGTTCTGTTTTCGCCGAAGGTTCCTGCCTTGGCTGCTGAGAAACCGGTGCCGGCACTCGTCCGAACTGGCGAAGCTCCCTCGCTGCCTTGGGAGGCACATGCGACTGTGCAGCCGTTTGTATGGAAAGTGATACGCCGCACTCATTCAAAGTGAGATGCTGTAGCGGCAGATGGCTTGATCGTCGTTTCTTCAGGCATGGGCGAAGTGGACATGGAAGGGCTACTACGAAGATGCTTGCAAACTTGCAAAAGCTTTCATACAGTGATCGAGCTGCATAGAGTTGGGAGGAGGGGGAAGGAGTTTGAGCTGCATCGGCAACTGTAGCAGAGGCGTTGCACAAGTTGGCACAGATGCGATTAAGCCAGCCAGTGATTAGATTAGGTGCACCGGTGCAGCGTCTGCAAATACTCCCCATCCTAGTACCAGTTTGCTTGATCTTGACTGTGACAAGGCTCGGCGTCCAACAGTTTGGGAGTGTGACGATTTTTGGTTTCAATGCTGCTCGGCGATAGATTTATAAGATTTGGCTATATTTGGCTGAATGCTGCAGACATGGATGCTGCTGCTACAGCTTGCGGTTGACTCAGAGTCCACCTCAGGCTCCGGAGTGGATGTTGAGTGCTCTCGCGGCCATGCTTTGTGGCGGCTGCTCGGCTGTCAACTTTATTTCAGAAGCGCGAGCAGCAGGTTCCCCCTTCCAGCCGTCAAGCCTGCTCATCCAAAGGCAAATACGTCGGCATCTACTCCACCGATACGCCGGAGCAGGCAAATGCCGGTATGGGGAGGTGTAGATGCAAAGAGCCAGGACCAACCAATCAACCAACCCACCAACCCTACAACCCACCAATCCTTGAAGCAACCATCCCAACGAATCACAACCAGCCAACCAACGGACCAAACGACCAATTTGCCATGTCCCGAGCGAGTTCGTTCGAAGTCGACGGTATGAGAGTCTGAAAGCTTGCAGGCTGAAAGCTTGCAGTCAAAGTTTGAAGGTTTGCAAGGTGCTGGAGGTCGTAAGTTTGGGCATCTCGGTTCGCACCAGCCACCTCAGTTCGCACCAGCCAGCAGGCGTCAAACTTCGAACTTTCCGAACTCGAAACTCCACCCACCCACAGACCCACCCACCCACCAACCCACCGAAAAATCGCTCAACCAAACCAACCACCGACCGCGGACCAATCAAGCGACCAACCGAGCGACCAGCCGAGTAACCAACTAACGAAGGTAATTGACTCGACTGACTAACTAGCTATCTATCCATCCAACCAAATAGCTAGCTGACTATCGGCGAACCAGCTAGCCAACTACATAGTGTTTCTTTCAATTGGATACACTGGGTACAGTACCCGTTTGCCATCAGGTGCAGTACAAGGTCGACCACTCCAACGCAGCGGTGCCTTCCCTCTCACAAGCAGACCATCACACGCCATGCTATTTACTCGCCGGCTTTACCGTGTCATTTCCTGGGTCACACCGAAGATGGTTTCACGTCGTGGGACGTAGACGAGCCAAGCCTTCTCTGAAGTACCAGGGTGCGGTGGCACTGCATGGGGCTGAGCAGGTCGAGTGTTGCGGTATGGCTGAGGTCATGGTGGTGGATGGGGAGGTGGAGTTTGAGGCGACTGCGAAACATGTCGAGGAACGTGGGTTGCTGCCAATGCGAAGATTGCTCGATAGGAAACACGTCGCATGCAACTGGCCAGGAAATGCCTGAGCTGCGTGCCATCGTGTGCTGGGGCATGCCGGCGCGGGCTCAGCTCACCAGGCTCGGGGTTTCGGTGAAGGCTCCGGCTGGGGCCTCCCCTTCATTGATACTGATATATGTCATGCTGCAGGTGCAGTGGCTCAACATAAATTACTGCATTTGTTGCCACATTTTAGGTTTCTCCTCTTCTCTCTCTGACATAATCAATTTTTGCGTCCAAACTCTATGCACACGACCATTTCGGGGCGAGCTGGAGCTATGTGATTCCACACTGTGCCATTTTGCGTGGAGTGATGCATGGTACAACTCAGCGAGCTAGATATGAGGTCAGCTGCTGGCTTGTGCTATGCTGCCGCAGGAAAGACGGCAGCGTCTGCAAGGTCCTGACGTTCAAGGACATTTGAGCCCAGGGTTGGTTTGGTTCAGCTGCTGTCTCTGTGTGTGTTTGTGCAATGCCTGGAACCTCATACGGCAGGACTGCTTGGAGCTTGGCGCGTCGCAGAGCTCTGATAGCCTGGCTTCCAGGAAGGAGGCTCTCTGTCTATTTCACGACGAGAAATTGCCTGCCTGCTTCATGACCTTCAAGTTTTTTCTCGAGTTAGGCAACGCGGCCTGGACACGCTATGGGCATCATCTACACTTCCGGCACAACCGGCAACCCGAAAGCGGTGTTGGGCTTTGACGATTCTGATGGATTCGACACGTTCAAGTGGGCGTTTTAAACAGAACCCACGAGGTCATGGTGCACCATGACGCAGCTGTCGCGATCACATCCATGGCGAGCCAAGCCGAGACAGGTGCTTTTCAAGGTCGGCCCGGCAAGGGTTTAGATCCCTGCTTCAGGCCAGTGTGCGGGACTCGTGGCGGTGCCTGAACCGTGTCTAATGCTCACGTATGTTTGTGTCTGTTTGTTTGTTGGATGTGTCAATATATGCGCATAGCATAGAATCATAGAAGTAACGCCGCGCTGACCCCAGGATTTGCATCAGACTGTCAGGCCAGGGCAAAGGCAGCCTCGTTGAATTACACTGGGGCGCACATAACTCAGCCTTATTCTAGGGGCTGCGCCCACGGGCGGGCAGCGCAGGTACATGGAGCAACGCCACGCACCCCCCCCTCACTAAACCCCACTGATGCTGATGATGCGCGCCCACTTTGGGGTCCGCCGAACCCGCTGGGGCTTCCGCAGCCCACTCAACAATTTGCAAAACATCCCTCGCGCTCCTGGGGTCGTCAACGGGAGTTCCAAAATCTGCCATCATACCGTGGGGAATGGCAGCAAAACGCCGGCGTTGCCGGGTGAGCCTCCAAACGAGGTCCCGTCGCGGCCCGGTGGAAAAACGCAGGTCCGATGAAGCAGGATCGGCGGCACTGCGTGTCCCGCCGTTTCCTAAAGCTAAAGCAAAGCCTGCAAGCTACAGCTCGCCTCAGGCTCGGACTCACGGGGCGCATGCGCTCGGGGACCGAGCGCTGCCCGATTTAATGGGCCTAAATTTGCTTCACAAGAAACGCGCGGAAGTAGAGCAGACATAGGATCTGCAATGCCTGCAAACATTGCAAGAACTCTGGCTGCCTGCATGCTACGGCCAACAAGTGGCGGAAGAAGTCTAACGAAAAGACTCGGAAGCGCCGTGCACAGATCACTCTTGAAGCATGTCGGGCCGAAATACAGGCAGGAAAGCAGCAACGACATCAGAATCCTTGCAGGCAATGCGGAGCCGTCTGTGCCGACAACGACAAAGAGAACTCGCGAGGTCTCTGCGCTACTCGCCGTAACAAGTCAAGCCTAGTCTGGGGTGCAGCCTTGTTTACATACGAGTGCCAGCAATGCAACACGATGGTGCAGTCCAACATCCGAGGCGGCCGCATCGACACACGGAACAGGTCAGAGACCAGAACACAAGATGCAAAACAACATTGCGGGCACCAATTCTACTTGAAAGACGGCCAGATTGTGCAAAAAGAATACAAAAGAATGCACATACCAATGCCCGCAATGCAGCGCCGCCGTGCATATACGGGACGGCCGAATCAATGGGCCAGGCAATGACCTAAGTACGACTAAAAAACACGCGAAAACCCGCGCCAGCCGGAGGGTCGAGATCAGCAGGGTGGGCAGGGTAATGGGCGGTGTGGGTCTTGGTTGGCGGCGTGACTTTTGGGGGGTTGAGCAGGCATTAGGGTCGAGTTAATGGCTTAATTGCGACTGACTAAGCACGAAAACACATTGTTTCGGAGGGATGGAAGCGCCAGGCGACGAACGCCGGCGGGCGCTGAAGGCGCGGGCGCTTTTTGGTGAACGGGGGAGGCATGGAAACGTTAGGCGACAAAGGGGCGCACGCGTCCGCGGATGTCCAAAGGAACATGAAGACGCCAGGCGACGAGCGCTGGTCATTGCTGGTCCAGGGGAGGTCCGGGACGGGAAAGAGGGGTTGGGCATGCGAGCATGGTGAATCGAGCGCAGGCGCTGGGGGGCGAAGAGGGGTTGGGCATGCATGAGGCTGCATTGAGCTCGAATTAAATCACTCAATTACCAACACTTTACACACGAAAACACATTGTCACGGAGGAATGGAAGCCCAAAAATTCGAACGCCGGCGGGCGCTGAGAGCGCTGAGGGGTCCGGAGGGATCCGTGGGGGCAAAGAGGGGTTGGGCGATGCATTGGTTTCAAAGATAATTAATCAATTACTATGACTTTTCACACGAAAACGCACTTTCGCAGAGGGGTGGGAACACTAGGCGACCGATCGCCGGCAACGGGAAGGCCAGTTAAATGACCTGGGTTTTGGATGGTTTTGGTGGGCGGTGTGACTTTTGGAGGTTGGGCATGCATTAGGGTCGAGTCAAATGACTTAATTACGACTAAAAGAACACGCGAAAACCCGCGCCAGCAGAGGGCGCTGAGGGGTCCGGGGGCAAAGAGGGGTTGGGCATGCACTGGGCTCAATATGGCTCAATATTAAATTAACATGTAATTAACCAGTTACTATCATTGTTTACACGACAACGCGCAGTCGCAGAGGGACGGAAACGCTAGGCGACGGTCGCAGGCAACGGGAAGGCCCGAGGGGGTTCGGGAGGGCAAACGAAGTGGTGGAACACAGCTTCTGAGCGCCGCCAGGGTTGACGGATAATGAGTATAAAGAGTCAGAGAAGTGGAACAGCTGCGGCAAAGCCTCAATCTGGAAAAACATGGACGGCCTTGGAACAGAGTCTCCCTGTGCCAGCATATCCAGCGCGGATTTTGTCGTACCTTCCTCTCTCGCACGTCGCCGGCTCGATGATGGACATGTGGAATCTCGCCTGCACTTGATTGCGTTTGCAGGTGGTTTACTTCGTCGCCCATTGGAGGCTGAAACCTTGAAAGCTTTGTAGCGCGAGTCCCTTTTGCGACAACCGGAGTGGCACGGCATAGCATGTCTCGGTTCATGGGTCGTCTTCTTGCCAACAGCTCGCTCGGCAGACAAGAAAAAATGCTACGGAGCACGTTCAGCCACTACCCTGTCTACAATTGTTTGAGGTTTCCCATCTTCATGGCCGGCAGCAACCGAAAGTTGCACAGCACAATCTATTTTGCCCGTCCCTACGACCTGAAGGAGATGACCCTGGCAGCCCGCATCCAGCGTCTCTTCTCAACAGACAGCCTTCGTACTGTTGTAACCATCGTCTTAGGTCAAGGAGCCAGGTCAGCATGTTCCGGTCTGGAAACTTTGCAATGCTGCAATGCCGCAAGATGCTGCGAGGTTTGTGCGGCCGACCGTCTTCCTCGGCGTTCCCCGTGTCTATGAGAAAATGCAAAGCCGGATGATGGCGGTTGCTTCGACCATCACGGGCCCGGGCAGCGTGGGAGTGGGGCTTGTCCGCATTGTATCCGTCTCGGTTTCACACCCTCGACTACATATCCCCGCATGCTTCTGATACCGGGCATCCCTCGACGGGGGTTGTCGTCTTGGTTTCTGGCATCTGTGCCTATAATCGCATGATCAATCGATCGTTGTTGCCGTCTGTACGGCCGTGGGCAGGTGTGAAGAAGTCGATTGCCACATGGGCCAAGGGAAAGGGGCTCGAGTACTGCAGAAACTTGCAGGCAGGGGCGCCACTGCGACTTGGATGCCTTGCTTCCACCTTTGACCATGCGACGGTGTGACATGAAACTTCAGCACCTCCACATGTTCTGCTCGCTAGCTCCAGCCGAAAGCCATGCGATACGACCCAAGTTTCACCACACATGCTCGGCAGGCCGGCGGTTCAAAGGCGAAGCCTTTGTTCTTGACCATTGCAGTGGGCATCCCAGGTCGCGTAATGCTTTCAGGACCTTTCAAAAGGCATCGGGCATTCAAGGCCGCCGATACAGAAAAGCACGCACATCATGCCTCCAGCCGGTAATTGTCAAACTTGCCAAGGACAAGTTGATCCTGTCCAAAGCTCGCGACGCATTGGGTTTGGATCAGTGCAAAAGCCTGATCGTAGGCGGGCCGATTGCTTTCTGGATGCTCCGTCGTTCCTCGAGCTCGGCAGTGCCAACTCATGTGTTTTTTTTTTCGGGGTTTTTGAGAGGAATCACTTGTGGTCAAGTGCTAAAGGGTACTCTTGAAGACTAGGTGTCGAAGAGGTGCTCAGAAGTCCAACATCCCCTACAGCCTCGAAAGGTGCTGCTCCAATTTCTGCAGACACACTGGAATACTTTGGCCAGCTCGGCATGATGATTCAGAACGCCCGGAACCGAGGGTCGAGTGTGAGCTGAAACCCACGTAGTAGAAACTTGTCATCCCGGCATCAGAGCCGAACCAAACAAATCTTGACATTTGCACTGGTCAGTGGCCTTTATGCAAGGATACAATGCCGCAGGCTTCACCTCCCACATGCCGTTCACAGACAGTCATTTCGTGTGGCGGCAGTGGCGATTGTGATGGTGAACATTGTGATGATGACGAAAGGGCTAGTCGGGAGGCAACGGGATACCGTTGGCCGCCACAAACTCTAGCGGCAGCAGCAGCGGCGGCGATCGCCGATGCTGCCGCCACCAATAGTGTCTTCGTCACCACCAGCACCACCACAATCGGCATGACCACCGTCATTACACTGTCATTGCCCTCGCGACTGCAGCCGCCTGCCTTCGATCTTTCGATGACAGGACTACCTACACGTACTACTTACTACTGCTGCTACAGTGCAACGACGGCGACGACCAAAAAGATGTCGACCACGGCCGTGGTGAATATCGACACAAAGCTCCAGCTAGAAATTCTTCCGACAATCAAAGCATTGTGCCAAGGTTTACGGTATGAGCGAGTCCTCGGGACTTACCACATGCTGCATGCCATCGTGGAATGCCTTCGGCACCGTTGGCCAGGCGCCTGCGATCGGTGTGTTTTACGGTTCGCTGCCATAGGATGCAAATGTGAGCCTGTCCGAAGTGACTTTAGCATAATGTATCGATTGCATCCCTTCCCTCGCCATTGAAGCATTACATCAAAAACGGAAGGCGGCAGAGTCCTTAGTGCGACTGGGGCATGCAGCGGAGCCGAGACGTGTAGGTGAAAGACAGTTTGGGCTGGTACTGTAATCCCAAGTGTACGTGACTCGTGACACGCCTTGCTCTCTTAACAAGTGCTGAGCTAGTCGTTATTCTAGTGGCAAGCGTTGAATCTTACGAAGGAAGGAAACTACAAAGTGCAGGCTTGTTGCTTCCGCATCGGTCACAGCCGGTGCTTGTAGGGGCATTCATGGGAGGCTTGTCCGTTAGCAAGGGCCGGCTGATGTCGATGATGCTTGCTCCATGCCCCCGTACTCTTGGCCCATCACAGCCCAAGTAGAGCTGGCTGGTACCCATGAGCGGGTCTTTCTCGGGCCTTTGGCAAGGGGCTGATGCTGATGATGCGTGCCCCTGTGGCCTTGTCCGACCCATGGCAGCTGCAGTAGGGTTAGCTGATGCTCATGGTGCGCATCTTTCTGAGTCCGAGAAGGGCAACTGATGCTCGCGCATTGCGTGGCTGATGAAACGGATTTGCTCCTGTTGCATGCCAGTCCCAGCACAGACCGAGGAGGACCAAAAGTGAGTGAAGACGGCCAGCTCATTGCAGATGATGCGTGCTCCTGTGGCATTGCCCAGATTCCCGCAGAAGCCTGCATTTTTCTGCCAACGGAGGGCAAAACAACAAACAAACAGGGCCAGCTGATGCCTGCGTCCGTCCTGTGTCCTTGTTCGGCCCAGCTCAGCCCAGGGGCCGGCTGGTGATGGTGTTGCTGAAGGGCGTCTTTCGTTCCATGAAGGGTTTATCACCACCCAGCATGAGCCAGCTGAAGCTGATGATGTGTTCCTATCTGGACTTGCCAGAGTAGGGCCAGCTGGGTGGTGGTGCTGCTGTGTCCTGCTGCGTCCCCGCCTCTTGCTTTCCTCAACACCAGTCCAACGGCAGAGTGCAGCCCCAGAGACCATGCAGAAAGAGTTTAACCGAAAGCAAAGCTGACACTGTTGCAGGCTCTGCCCGGCATCGAGGTAAAGTGCTTCAAGACCGGGCCAGGTGGAGAAAACATCGAGGCGCCTGCGGGCAAGAGTGAATTGACAAAGCTGAACTATTCGAGATTCTCTGGGCACTCGCTGCAAGGTGCCTCGATGTCAACCCAGCGCCAAAGTGGTGCCCCATGCGTGTGATCATGCAGTCTTGCAGCCTCGCGTTTGCTAACGTTGCCGACGGGTCTTCAGTGGATTAAGCTGAAAACGACTGCAGGCTGTCTGTGCTATAGACTATAGACTCAGTAGATATCCAGCAGCCTGAAGAGCAATGTTGGAAGGGATGGCAGCCAAAAGCGGCACCACAAGTTGATGACATTTGATGTTAAGCCCCTAAAAAATCCCAGTGGCCAGGTGCCTGAGGACTGCCAAGGTGGCGGGAACGCACTCAATTTTGCGGTGGGAGACATCGTGTGAATTTCGGCTTATTCGTTCAAGGGCCGCTGGTGGATAACCTCCTTGTGATATCCTGTGATTATATAGATTTCCCCACCAGGACCGCAATCCAAGCATTCTCGCTAAGCTCCGGAATTGCAAGCTCTCCTGTCAGGATGGGCCCTGTTGTCCTGTATCAAAGTTTGTCCTTGCAACCTCATGCTTCCCTGCGAGGTGAGATTTGCTTCCGCAGGGAGCTCAGGAACCTTAGAGCCTGACGGTTATCGGCGATCAGCCCTTACGGAATCCGTCAGCCTTCAACTCTAGTTGCAGCTGCAGGCAGTTCCTAGAAATGCCCTTGGATTCTGAGCACAGAAAGCCACGTCGGACTCGCAACGGCTTAGCTTCCTCCTTGCAGGTGGCCGGCACATTATGAGTGGCTACATGGCTAACCCCAGGCAGGTGAGTTTTGATGGCGGAAAGCGTTGGTTCGTGCGCAGTGGTTTAAAGGTGAGGGTCGAAAGGTCGAACAAAAAGCATGGCCGATGCCATGCCGTCACTTGCTGTAGCGGCTGGAGCGACAAGCTAGGGGTGAGCGAATGGCAGCTTCTTCGGCAGGTTCGGCGAGGCGCACGTCAAGGCAGCTTCTGCATTCGACACGAGCTGTGTCACATCTTTCTGGGGCTGGCTGTTCTTTTGGTCGGCACCAGGAAATCAAGGAAAAAAACGAAAGCACCATCGACAAAGATGGCTGGCTGCACAGCGGCGACAAGGCACCACCAAGCTGCATCAGTGCTACACTGTTCTTGAATGCATAATAAAAGGTTCCGTAGCCATTTTGGTTCAAGCTGGTCGTGGCTTCAGTGCTTTGGTGTCGCACCCAAGAGGGCACAGCCCCAACAATGGCTGCCCGGGCGCAAGTCGTGGTCAAGGCGGCTCAGATCAAGAAGCCCAGCGCCGGCCCTGATGACGGCCTTCCCTTTGCAACAGGTCCCAAGCTCGCAGACCTGTCTGCCAGTGTGGCTTCGGGCAGTGAGGAATCCCTGTCGAAGGCAGCGGTGGAAGGCTTCCAACGGCCAGCCATACAAGATACAGATCAGATCTTTGCTGCGGCACAGGACCACTACCTTCACCTGGGCATGGCGAGGCAGGATCCCGAGCGTTTGAAACGCCTGCAGGTCTTGGACGACGTGTGCGAAGGCAAGCTGAGCGAGGTGATGAGCATTCCCCAGAACTTCGTGGTGCTTTCCAGTTCGGAGACCCCGGTTGCAACCTTGCGGTGCATTGCCTTCAGCGGAATGCCTCACGTCACAGGAGTCACGGGCTTCACGCAAGGAGAAGGTGTTCTGCAGCTGAGTAAGCTTTCCGGTGCTGGGGGTCGACATCGCCTGCATTGTCTCATGCAAGAAGCTGTGAAGACCTTTTGAAGGCGATGAGAAGTGGAACAAGGCCAAGAAGTTGAATCGGTCGTTGACCTTGACTGAAGATCGCAAAGAGACTGTTGAGCAATGGGATGTAGAAGGTAACTACACGTCTAAGCACGGCCTCAAGGCCAGCAGCATGGCTATCGAAGTGGAGGGCAACATCATCTCCGCTAATGCAGAACTGTCGAACTTGGCGACTATGACGACGCACTTCTCATCGAAGGAGACCAGGACAGACTATCAGGTGGCTGCGCGGCCACAGCCCCGGCAAGAGCAGAGCGAATGCCCAGGCTGCCCTTGCATGGCGATTCTCCTCGCCCCTTGCGTTCCCCTTATGGCCTGCCTTGCTGCGATCGAAGCCTGCCTCTCCTGCCAGCTGTGCAAGCCACAGCCGTCGCAGCCATCGCAACGGGCCTCCCTTTGCCCATGCTGTCCCAAACGGCCTCCGCCTCCACAGAAACCTCCGCCTGTGGTCGGCCGTGCAGTGATGGTAGGAAACTGGACATCGGTGGAAGGAAACCTAGGAGAATGGCAAGGCTCTGCTATTCACCGGCCTGGTTTTGCGGATGGCATGACAAAGGAGACGAAGGGAGAGACAGAGAAGGTCGTCCACCAGTTCTTCTACCCGAAGGTTCAGGATTGCAACGGGGATCAGACGACTACCACCAAGTACGAGAAGATGCACGTCATCCATGTTCTCTACCGCCTGCCGATGCAGAGGCCCACCATCTTCACCGCCTGGGTTCACCCAGACCAGTCGGGAGCTGCTGCCCTTCGCTTCGTCCAGGAGCTCAGTGCAGCGGCGACGGCTCGATGCAACAGCTTGGAGGGTACACAGGCGATCTACCAAGCCGAGTCCAGTGATGCGGTTCTGCAGCGGCAACAGCACTTCTCCCATTTGTGGAAGCAGGCAGCCGGGTGGTCCCAATATGGCGATGATGTTCATGGCGCGGAGCAGGCCGATGTGCAGACAGTGGTGCTCCCAGAAAAGCCAAAAACATGCGGCCAACAGGCCATCAAATGGGCGCGAGCCCAGGGCCTGCAATTCTGGCTCAAGGTGGCCCTGGCGGCAACCTGCCTCGTCCTTGTCCTGATTTTGGTGGCCCAGATGTGAGCAAAGCAGGTTCGGATGTGGATCAGGGTGTGATTAAAGCCAGCCTTTGGGATTTAGGCTTCGCAGCGTGTCGCACGCGGCCATGACTAAGACCCTTAGGAGGTTGTGGGTTTATTGTTCTGTGCTCCGGTGCAGAGCCTGCTTTGGTAGACTCGACGTCTTAGGCGACTCTGCGCGCCACGCGTGGCAGACTCGTCACTTTGTGTGGATCCGTTCGCTTACACCTTCCCTGAGCCCGACACCCCTCGGCTGCGCCGCGTTCGGCGCTGCTGGGTCGGCGGTTGTTCCTGCCAGGGACCCTAAGGGTCCATATAGGAATTTAAAAACCCGAAATCCGTTATTTTTACAGGTTTGTCTTTTAACAAAATTTGCCTTGTATTTTCGGTGGACTTAATTCAATATAAACATATATATCTATATGCTCATAGTACATGTGGACCCTTAGGAGGGGGTGCGCCGCACCTCGGGAGAAGGCAACGCCCCCACTTTTGAAGGTGGCCCTCCCTTGTGCCTGAAGGCAGAAGGTTGCCTTGTCGTTTCACGAAGAGGCTGCTGTCTAATTTGCTCAAGAAGCGATTCAGCATTTTAGGGTTTAGGGCTTGACATGCACCCAAAATTCAAGACTGCAGCACAACTTGTTCCGCGACTTGATGCGAGTGGAAGCTACGCTGCACAGACCTCGGCAATTCAGACGACGACCGGCGATGTGCACTGCTTTACTGAAACCGCGGTGCCCGAGGAGTTGACTTAGGGCTTAGGATTCTCTCCGGCAAGTGGATGCACGAGCTGTGGAAATGATGCCAGAGATGCAAGCTGGCTCGACCGCGTCCCGCAGCCCTTTGGTATCCCTCGACGTAGGCGGGGACTTTCGGTGGAATCTCTCTTAGCGGGACCCATCTTGCTGCGATTTGTTGGCCCTCTTGGAGGCCAGACTGTGCCCCTAGATTCTAATGGGGGCTTGTAAACACAGAAGTCAGAAGTCCCACACACGATGATCCGCTGCATGGTGGCTGCGACCGCCTTTCTAATGGCTGGCGGCGAGGCCTCGGACTGGGCAGACACTACCGTAAATTGGGGCAGATTTACCATTCCGCACGCTCCCAAGTTTTTCGGACAGTTGTTACAAATTCGCCGTTCCCAAACCAATGTGCCGACACTACTAGCACCGTGCAGTCCTGATGTCTTCAGTCGATTGTCGAAGTTCACCTGCAAACATCTGCAGTACACGACGTTACATTAGCCAGCTTACCAGCAGACGGACTTTGCAACAAGTTGCAGGCTTCCGACCTGTGCATCGTTGCCGGCTGTACACTGAGCCAGTGAGCGGCACAGGAACCTCTCCAGATCGTTCGATTCGGACAGGTCCCCAGCACCGCACAGCTGGTGGGGTCAATGACAATGTTGTCGCCATTGTTGGCATTTTCATTGCCCTCCAGGGCTCTAGCGGCTCGGTTTCGAGAGTTGTAGGTGATTGATGGGTTTGTTCGAGCCCGGTTGTTGTGTGCTTGCACCGTGAACCAACTCGTAGCTGATCTTGCCAGTTACCCGGCCTACCCTGAACGAGCCGGGAAGTACGGTATACCATACACCGCACTGCAACTGGGACAAGCATGGTTCAATGCACTCATGCTCCTAGATGTTTGAGGTTGGTGCGTGGTTGTCTCTTTGCCTTTCTCTGTTGATTCGTGTGCAGGCTTTTAAGTGATACGGATCGATGTTCTCTGGTCCTCACTTTTCTGCTTCAGGAGAAAGGTTGCCCAGAATTGAAATTCGGTTACCAAGCATTGGTTTCGCACATCTTTCATAATTCCCGAGCAGCAGAGTGCTCTTGGGAAGTGCGGTGGCTATAGTCGCCTTCTGTCGGGAACACCAGGATGTGAAGTATATGACCTGTCACTTCCCCGAAGGCTATCATCGGGTGCGAAGCTCGCAGCAGGTCCTACGGGGCTACTCTGAATTGGGCCGAAAGGTACCCTCCACCGTAGAGCAGTCGCCTTGTACACTTAGAGGTTCACAAAACAGCTCTGGCGGTGCTAGCACCGATCTAAGCAATCATGCTTCTTGAAGGTCGGTGATGATGCGTGCTTGTCTTGCCTTATCTTGTTGATGCAATGATTGTTTGGGTTTGATGTACTAAGGTCCCCACCCAACAGTTTTAGGCAACGAGTCAGGCTTGGAGATCGTTTGCTGACCAGGGCAGGCTTCGCGTGCACTAAGTGTGCCACCTCGCGGCATTTCCTGCAGAAAGTGACGTTCTTGATCTTGAAGTTGTAAATGGTTGTGTAGCACGTATGTGCTCAGTGCTTTGTGACGTTGCTGGTGCGCTCACCAAGTGTGCAGCTTGCCCGGCGAGTCCGGGGCATTAAATGCGCATCCCCGTGACGCAGTCAAAGGCCTTTTCCGCGCTCTCTTAGTTGGAAAGTCAGCAGAGGCACCTGGTTCCTTTGCATTCCGAGGGGTCATCTGATGTTGCCCAGTCTGGACCGCTACCAAATTCTGACAGAAAAAAAGATCGCACCGTGGGCTGACGCCTTACCGCTCGGCTCGGTGGCTCACCAAACTACGGCTTTTGTCTCCTCGCATTTGTGCGTGTTATTCTTCTATTTGCTCTTCCATTGTCTTCCTGCTGCTGCCTCTGCTGCGTTTGCTCTGGCTTGCGTGGGGCGATGACGCTGGCGGAGCCCCATGCCCGCTTGCGTCCTACCCCTGAGGGGTGGAGACCATGCGGGTGCCTCTCTCCTTGCCGCGAGACGACTTCTCTCTCTCTCTCTCTCTCTCTCTCTCTCTCTCTCTCTCTCTCTAAAGGGTTATACGTTTTGTAAATGCATAGGTCTTGCCGTGATTGTCGGTTAGCTTGGTTCGCATTCTTTCTGTGCTTGCACACATCGACGACCACTCATATGATGCCAAGAGTGGTCGACATGATAGCCTTGCACACACTCTTGATCCGGATCCAGACATGCCCGATCTCTAATCCAGCCGATCATGGTTGCAATCGTTCTGAGCATTCCGAGCTGTTGTTCCCACTCGCCCCCTTTGCAGGGCTGCATGGACACCAACGGTGTCGTGCGGATTACTGGGCGCTATAAGGAGCTTATCATCGGTGCAGGCGGAAACATGCGGAAACTCGGCCTGCCGGAGTGATGACCTGTAGCATGGGGCCTTGTAAACAGAAGGCTGTGATATTCGTAGTTAGCTACAAGCGATGCCACCCATGAAGAACCAGTTGACGCGGCTGGAACAGTAGAAAGAACCTACCATCAACCACCCCACGTCAGGCGGCGAGAACATTGCACCTGTGCCGGTTGAGGACACTGTCGGAAGCTTGGCTTCTTGTTGCGACCAAAACAATTGTCGTTCCAGGACAAGATCAAGCAACTAGCGCCGGCCCTCTCGAACGCCACAGGCTCAGAAGGGAGAATCTGAGAAGGAGCGAGGAACATGTCCCCACCCCCAAACGCCTTGCAAGCAAGCAAGCAAGCGAGGAACATGTCATGAACAGAAATGACCGGGTGCAACTCAGAGCTGACAGCCGCCTTGGTCAGGGGCTTCCTGGTCCCAATTAGACTTCGGAGACAGCTGCCAATTCTGAGGTCATGATGGTCGGAGACAATCGACGCTTTAACGTAGCATTAGTGACGCTGTTGGCAGAGGCAGGGTCCGGGGTTGGCTGCAGGCTCCCCCATCAAGGCAAGCCTACGGTTCTCGTTCCTAAAATCTCCTAAGCCTCAGCTTTCCCACTCCCCATCTGAGCGCCATAAAGTAGCAGGGTGCAGCATTACAGCTTCGTCGCTTCAGTGTGTCGCTGCCTCAACTAGGCCTGTGTGTGCCGCTTGCGACCAGGGCGCAACAGGTGAACTTCCCGGAGGCGACAACCTCACTGGAGCAGCACTGGAGGCTCTTCTTGCGGGTTCGAAGATGTCCTCCTTCCTCGAGATCTGGTCTGTGATCTAGCCTTGATAGCACACTTCCATCGCTCGACAAAGGTGATTGTCTATGTATGTACTTGTGTAAGTATGTGTAAATACAAATAATTAGATATGTACACACACAGGTTTGTATATATATATATGTGTGTGTAGGTATATATATATATATGTATGTATGTATGTATGTATGTATGTATGTATGTATGTTCATTCATACATACACATATGCTCGCCCCACAAGCCCCTCACAAAGATCCACGCATGCGTGGTTCATGGGGCATGCAGAGCACGAAACAGTGCAATGCTCAGAAACTCAAAAAATTTCCAAAACTCTTCAAACGCTGTAATGCCCAACAAAATTCAATATTCCCAAATTCTGGTATCTATGGCGAGGCCGGTACCAGACACCACAAAAAAATTGGAATGTTCTGAGCATTGCAGTGTTTCGTGAGTTTCAGGGTTGGGAATTTTGGAATTTTTTAGCCTTACAGTGTTTTGTGAGGCTCAAGACACGAAACCTTGTAATGACTCAAACAATAGCAAATTTTCCAGCAATTATAGTAGCCGGCCGCGAACACCGTAATGCAAAAGAAACCAACATTTTGGATGGCTTCGCCACCACCGAGCCATAGATGCAAGGATTTTGGAATTTTTAAAGTGTTTTGAGCATCACAGTGTTTCGTGACTTTCAGGGTTGGAAATTTTGGAGCCTTTTTGAGCATTGGAGTGTTTCGTGATGTCCCGGACAGGAAAACCTGCATCACAAGATAAACGGGAGCTCTCAGCAGCTTTCAAGGACTAGAATGACTAGAAGTGCTATCTTATGTGCCTTCTATTCTAGAACAGCAGGCGTTTTCATTACTCTTGCTTGATAAGTATGAAGAAGGCCCATCTTAGTCTTGTTTCATTTCATACTGAAGACTATGGGAACTTGTTTACATTTTGCTATCACTAACGGCTATTAAAGGACAATGGAGACTTCCCATGCTCCTTCGACCGGAGCAGTCCATCTCGGTTCGGTCCATGACACATGCGACAGCCGGAGCTGGAACCCGGAAGAAGAAACCCCGAACCCCCAAGGCCCCGAAGCCCAAAGGACAACCCGAGAGCCCACAACCAAGAGCAAGCGCCCAGAACCCAACAAACGCCCCGAAGAAGAACACAATCCCAGAGGCAAACCACTACGAACACTGTCGCTGTGAGCCGTATACATACATACATACATACATACATACATACACACATACACACATACACACATACACACATACACACATACACACATACACACACATATACATATATATATATATTTATTTATATATTTATTTATTTATTCATATTCATATTTATATATATGTATATATATATACGTGTATATGTATATATCTATATCTATATATATA